AAAGTAATATAAATAGTTTATGATATTCGTGATCCAATACACTTACCATCAATACAACAGATACTCAGTAATATTATAATCATTATATGATACAACATCTCTCCACTTTATCTTGTTATTATCCTTCTCTCTCTCTCAGTGTGTTGTTGTTATTGATATTTTACACTCTCATCCTTTATTTTTGTACACTTGCAATGTTTACATTGACACGTTAAAAAGGAAAGAATTATTATTTTAATTCATAGACTAATGGGTTAGAAATAATAAATTAATAATCATACAAATAATTATATACCCAATTCATGACCCTTTATGATCAGCTTTAATATTAATTGCATGAAAATTTTATTTTATTGGTCAAAAATAAATTTTCATTGTGTGTCTCTCTTAGAATGTGTAAAGTAAGGAATATTGCCTTAAATAATGATTGATAAACTATCAATGTAGTCAAAATCAACTTAAGCTACAAATAGTAAAATGCTCACCTGGTAACTGCTGTAGCAAGAAATGGGTGGGGCTGAAGTGACTTGAGCTAGCCATAGATATTCAGGAAATTCACTGTGTGATCTCTTTTAGGATTTTGTACTTTGTGTATCTAAAGTAAGTAAACATTGCCTTAAGCAGTGATTGACAAACTAGCTAAATCAACTTAGGCAAAATGTTCACCTGCAGTGGCTATCTCTGGGCTATTCTGCTGCAGCAAAAATGGGTGGGGCTGAAGTGGTCTGCAAGTCTAGACCACACCCACTTAGTTCAAGATGCCCATCTTTTATTAAAGACACAAAACAGTCTCTGTTCTTCACACTAACGTCATGGAGTATAAGTCAATAGCATCAGAAGTGATTAGAAAGAACAAAGAAGAGCTGAAAGAACTGAGTCGTGAGATATGGAACAATCCTGAGCTGAACTTCAAAGAATACAAATCCTCATCAACCATCATGAACTACCTGGAGGAGAAAGGATTCACTGTAACGAGGGGCTACTGCGGACTGGAGACCGCCTTTAAAGCAGAGTATGGGAACAAGGAGAGAGGAGGTCCTAATGTATGTGTTATATGTGAATATGATGCACTACCAGGTATTGGACACGCCTGTGGTCATAATCTAATAGCTGAGGCTGGAGTGGGGGCGGGGCTGGGGGTACAGGGAGCTATAGCCGCTGGACTGAAGGGACATGTGACAGTAATGGGGACACCAGCAGAAGAGGGAGGGGGAGGGAAGGTGCTGATGATAGAGAGAGGCGGTTTCACTGGGGTTGATCTAGCCATGATGGTCCACCCCGCCCCCTATACCTCTATACATAATGAGTATTTATGTATCACTAGACTACTCGTCACTTTTAAAGGTAAGGCGGCTCATGCAGCTGCCTTTCCTTGGGAGGGAGTGAATGCTCTTGATGGAGCAGTAGCTGCCTATACTGCTGTATCACTGGCCAGACAACAGTTTAAACCAACCTGGAGGGTTCATGGTATATTCGCTGAGGGAGGAGTCAAACCAAATATAATCCCTGAAAGAGCTGTTCTCGATTACTACATAAGAGCACCTACCAGGAGTGAACTGGCTGTTGTCAAGGATAAAATGATAGCTTGTTTTAAAGGAGCAGCAGCTGGTACTGGCTGTGAGGTTAGTATAGAGAAGAAGGACCAAGACTATGAGAATGTACTGACCAATAAAGTCTTAGCTGATCTATTCACTGATAATATACTAGCATTAGGAGTTACTGATATACGACCATCAGGACCAGCTGGTTCCACTGATATGGGTAACGTGACTCACGTGGTCCCTGGTATTCATCCTAAGTATGCTATAGGAGGAGGAGAGGTGAACCACTCACCAGGGTTCACTGCTGTTGCTAATAGTGACTCCTCTCATGATACTACACTGATCATGAGTGAAGGAATGGCCCATACTTGTATTGATATACTCACTAATAATGAACTGTTGGTGAGGGCTAAGGAGGAGTTTGAGAGAGACAAAGATCTTAAATAATAATATCAGTATTAGTACTGTTGGTATTGGTGATTTTGTATTTGCATTTTGGTATTTTTCTTGTATTATATTGATTAGCAGCAATGCATTTTATTAATGGGTGGGGCTAATTTAGTTGTAGGTGTGGCTAATTATTAATTTTTTTGACCAGTGACCACTTGCTGTAAGTAAAATGGCGTCTGTTCTTGCTGATAAGTATTGCAGTAAATCCTTGAGAGGGATACTAATGGACGGAGAGTGTGGACCAGGACACGAGTATAATTACCAACCTTTGAATAACAGCTTCACTGTACCACCTGGCATTGATGTGAGAACATTAATAATAATAATAATAATAAATATGATAATTATGCATGCAATAATAGTACTACTAATAATATAGATGGGGATTTTGGAGAATTTAGCGTTTTGACAGCTATTTGTCAAATTAAATCCACCATTTTTATTTAAATTTGCCCTCCATTTTAAAAATTTAATTAATTAATATTAATAATATTAATTAATATTGTTCCTCCTACTGTAGCCTCATCATTTTGTGAGTCCCTTTACGTCTGATTCCAGTGATTGTAAGATCAAGTTCAATCATGGCACCACAACACTAGCTTTTAAGTTTCAACACGGAGTCATAGTAGCAGTTGATTCAAGGGCTACTGCTGGATCTTATATTGGTATGATAATTATGAATCGAATTAATAATAATAATAATACATAGATACATGCATATACATGTTCTTATGTTGTGTAGAAAGTTTGAGCTGATTCCGATCAAAATTGGCTTTTTTACGAATTTTTAAAGTTGCTCCAAAATCGGATAAAAGTCCCTGTACTATAGTACAGGGTCACAGGCCAAATTTTGCCAAAAATGAAAAGTAGAGAATTCTCCATTTTAATTACATTTCCTGATGCATATACACGTACTTATGTTGTGTAGAAAGTTTGAGCTGATTCTGATCAAGTTTGGATTTTTTACGAATTTTTAAAGTTGCTCCAAAATCGGACAAAAGTCCCTGTACTATAGTACAGGGTAACAAGCCAAATTTTGCCAAAAATGAAAAGTAGAAAATTCTCCATTTTTATAACATTTTCTGATACATATACATGTACTTATGTTGTGTAGAAAGTTTGAGCTGATTCCAATCACGTTTGGATTTTTTATGAATTTTTAAAGTTGCTCCAAAATTGAACAAAAGTCCCTGTACTATTAGTAACGCGGTAGCGTTACTAAGTAGGATTCACCCCCAAACAAAATGGCTGCCACGACTTTTGCAGCCTTGCTATACCAGGAAAACGAGCTCCTATGCTTACCAGACTTCTTAGAGGACCTCATCTTGACCAGAGGACTCCATTGGTACCACTAGCGTGGCTCTAGACCTTGTCTAAGAGAAAATCCAAAAATCGGCGAACCGGCCGTTTTGTTCAGCCACCTTTTTTCATCTTCATCATCATCATCATCATCATCATCATCATAATCAAGTCAGAAGTCCTGTCAATCCAGTTGTCGGTGTGTATCTCAGTATTGGTTGGTGCTACAAGGATAATTCTTACATCAATCTACTCCAACAGTCTATGCGCAGGTCCATGTCCCATCAGATCATTCTTCAAGTGAGGAAAAGGTGATACTGTGACTGCTGGATCGAGCCATCTTAGCTGCATGCCGCCATTTTGTTAATTAATGAAGCTTGCCATGTGCTCCAAAATTTGGGTGTGGTCGCGCATGCTCAGATCTGCAGCTCTCGAAGAAGCAAGTTATTTTTTACCAAGCTATGCTTGGAATCAACTTACTGCAATACTTTAGTGGAGGTTTCCAGCTAAAAGAAGGTATTGATTTTACATGTTACTGTTTTATCAAGTGTGTTATTTTATTTTATTAAAAAAACAAACAATTAATTAATGTTATGACTTATGATATGCAATGATAATCATGAACTTGACAACAGCCTGGAAGAACAGGAATAGCAGGGAAGATGGACACTCTTAGCTCACAGGTTCTTGAACAAGGACTTGTGTCAAGACTAATTCCTTCAGCATGTCTATTTGATGCTGTCTCTCATAAATGTTATAACAATGATAATAATAAAGAAAATTATTGTTTGTGTAAAATCAACTAGTATCACCAATTGCAACTAAAGAAATACTATAAATA